ACGTCCCAAATTAGAAGGTCGAGAATCTGAACAAAGGTGGATGAAGGCTCCGAGCCCCGGGGTCAGGGACTAAGATCGTGTCCGCCAGGAGCCGTGACGCCAAGGGGCCCGGCCCCGGTCAGGCCACCTTTGTCCCTCTCGAAAGCCCCAGACCTCCGACCACCTCTCCTCCTTGCAACGCCCCGACCGGCGTGGCACTCACCCTGTCGCTGCTGGCGGGTGGTCCAGAGATCCGTTCCTCGGGGGGAGGCGCTGGGGGGCCAGGGGTCTCGACCCGAATAAGGCGGTGGGGTGGCGAGCCGTGGCGCGGGGGCGGCGTGGGCCCGGGAACGGCAGGGGTGGCTAGAGCAGCGGAGCCGGACGGCCCCCCGGAGTAGGGGTCTTCGAAGTCGCGCTCCCTCTGCAGTCGGTAGGCGGCCAAGATGTCCGGGGGAGGTGCGGGGGGCGCGGCCGGGGAAGGTGCGGGGGGGCGGTAGTCCGGCTCCGGGGGCGCCGGCTTGCCCCCACCTCCCTTTGAGGAAAACACTGGTGCAAAATAAACAAGAGAGGGTGCTGACAGAGAGCTATCTAAGCAGCATCAATTTAGCCACCAGTAGAGTGGGCTCTCTTTGTAGCAACTTCATGGGAAAGAGACCCATCTGAAAATGCTTCTAGAAGGCTTTGTTTGAAAATGCAGCACGCCCCCTCCTGGGCCGGTTCCCGCACCTCCGGCGCCCCGACGCGATCCAGCCGGGCCGCCCCCCGCGCTCCCCTGCGCCCGCGGCCCCGGGCCGGAGCCGGCAGGAGAAGCTCCGCTCAGTAACATGAGGCCAGCCAGACTGAACGTGGGGAGCTCTGTGGCCGGGCAGGGGGCGGGGCGGGGGCGGAGCTCGGCGGGGCGGCGAGAGGGGGCGGGGCTCGTCAGTAACAAGGGAGGGGCGGGGTTCCGCTCCCTAAAGGAGGCGACCTCCCTCCGCCCGGCGGAGAGGAGCGGGCGGGGGCTTCCAGCCTGTGTGGACGCAGAAGTGAAGTGGCGACCCTAGGGCAGGGAATGCGACTCCTGAGGATGCATCCTCCACGTGTCGCCACGCGCGCCCCTCTGGGGGCGCACCTGTGCACGTCTGTTGCCCCTCCCCAGCTCCCACCTCGCGCGAGACGCCAAGAGAGGAGTCTTCGGACTCCGGGGTTCCTGGCCCTCCGGCGCCTTCCGCCCCTCCTTTACCCTCCCCAAGGCCTCCCAACTGGGAAATAATATCCTGGGAGGAAAAACTGGGGTGGTGTGGGGTGGGGGCGAGACAGGAGCTGTTCTGTCAGATGTGTCTGGAACTACCGGCTCCGGCGTGCTGCCTTCGGAGCCCCACCTACCTCCTCCCATCCAACTGCTCTCTGTGCACATACTCGAACCCACTCCAGGTAGACATCTCACATCACAGACAATCAGCTCCCTAGAGGCACCCACTTCTCCCGAGTGGTTTCCACACACGCCCTCCTCACAGGCAGACAGCCCTTGCACAAACGCCTCCCACCCGGCCCTGATGGCAGCGCAAGCATATACACGGGAATCCCTTCAAGTCCCAGGTTGCGTTGCCAATCAGCTTAGTGACAGAATAGAAACAGACAAGTCAATAAATCAAGTCTAGAAACAGTTCCAGTGTTGTCTATCATAAACCCCTTATCCTCCAGAGGCTCGGATGCTCAAGCATTTTTGTCTTAGAAATAAAACCAATTTCTCCCCAGGAATGTCGTAGCCCTGAGGCCAACGCCAACATTTGCTTTTGACTCTGATGGAAAGGTAGCAGCTTCACCTCACCAACATCCCTCTGAGCACTACCTCAGTGTCTCCCTCACTCTTAGGCTCATATCTGTCTTGTGGGGGAGCGAAGAGCCACGTGAGGCCCCACAGGGAAGGGAGCTCAAAGCTGGAGCAGCGTAAGATGTGATGGCAAAACTGAGAATACCCTAGGATTCCCAGGGCCCCAGGTCTCAAAATATTTGTTGAGTTTCTGCTTTGTGCATATTCTTTGGTGTTATAGGACAGTGCTTTCCAAACTGCGATATGCACACGAATCTCCGGGGGAATATGCACACGAATCTCTGGGGAATTTGTTAAATTGAAGTTTCTGATTCTGTAGGTCTAGGTGGGATGGCGTCCCGGTGTAGTTCCAATAGGCTCCCAGGTGATACAGATGCAGCTGGCCCTCCCACCACACTTTGAGTAGCAGGACTATAGGAGATACTGAAATATCTGATATTGTGTCTGGTTTCATGAGGTATAATAGAATAACGTGCACATCGTAAAAATGTGCAGCTTAAAAAATTGACTAACAAATCAAAGCTGGACATGGAGATAATAAATTCTAGAAGAATTGTCCAGTTGATGCATATTGGAGGGTCTCCTCAATCACCAGGTGTCTGACAACAATAATTGTGGGCTGTAGTCAGATCTCTGAGGATCAGTGGCAAGATACTCAATGCCACTGATTCTCACTTTCCATATATCTGCAAAGGGCGTGATGACTGTTGTGTGAGGATTAGGGGAAATGATAGATATGAAATGATGGAAATGATGGAACAGGATTTAAAAACTGTAAAGTGCTTACCATGGTAGTTGTCAAATGAAGCCACATATGTTTAAGAAATATGGAGTTAAGCTGCTGACAGCTCAGAGGAATGGAATCAATCAAGTCTACACAAAAGATAGTAGGCTTCATGGAGGGGGTAGACCTGAGCTGGGTAGGATTCGGACAGATGAAGCAAAGGAGTGAAAGATCATTCCAACCCAGGAGGTCAGCATGAGTTGAGTGAAGGGATTGAGGTGGGAACCAGCCTACCATAAAGAAGGGGTGGGTTCATAGTGAGGAAGGGTAGGAAGTAAAGTCACATGAAGAGGGGGGAGGATATCATAAGGGTAGAGTTTAAATGATAATTAAAAAGCTGTAGTACCTTATGTGCACCATGAACTTACTCTTGTTTTAAACTATCTGTTAATGCACTTGACTCCCCCACCAGAGTGTGTGCTCCTGGAATCAGGCATTGTTGAGCACCTCATGGGGCCAGGAAGCTTGCTAGGAGCCAAGGATACAGAGGTGAGGCCCTCTCGGCAAGCCTCCTCTAAGACCTGGGTGGAGTTTGCCATATCCAAAGTCTTGCAGTTAAGCATGTTAAGCATTGTACCATAGACTCAGGATTCTGAAAGGAAGCTGGGTGTTCCCATCACTTAGTGCAGAGCCTGTCATGTGGCAGGAGCTTAACAAATGTTGAAATGAATAAAGATCATTTCTCTTGTTCGTATTTTTATATAGCTATAATTGTGGTATACACAATTTTATATCCTTATTTTTTCCACTTAGCATTGCATATTTTCCCCATTTTTATTATGTAAGCTTTATTTTCTTCCAATTTTTTTCCAAAATATTTCAAACCTACAGAAAAATTCAAAGAAATTACGGTGGAAATCTGTATAGCCTTCACCTAGATTCACTACTTTTTAACATTTTGCCACATTTGTTCTATCCCCCCACACTTTTTTTCCTTAACCATTTGATGCAAGTTTCAGGTATCATGATACTTCAGCTCTAAATACTTCAGCAGCCATTCCCTAAGAATAAGGAATTCTTGCATGGGGCCGTTAGACCATTACCATAATAGTATTGTCTATCATGCAGTCTACATTAATTTTTTTCCATTTTCTCCCAAATGTCATATATATATAGTTGGGGTTTTTGTTTGTTTGTTTGTTTTTTGTCCTGATTCAGGATTTATCAAGGTTCCTTCCCCTGTTGCACTTGTTTGTTTCTTTAATCTCTTTAAATCTTGAACTGTTCCCCATTTTTTTCTTGCTACTTTGTTTTTCATGACATTGATCATTCTGAAATGTCCAGGGCAGTTGTCATGTAGAATGTTGCACATTTTGGATTTTTCCATAGTTTCCTCATGATTAGATTCAGGTTTGACATTTTTTAAAAGACCATTACATGAGGGATGTTGTGGACTTTCTAGTGTGTTACACTGGCGGGCCAGCCAATAGTGCACATTTTTCCTTCATGGGTGATGCTAGGCTTGATCACTTGGTTAAGTTGGAGTCCATCAGATCCCTCCATTTCACAATTTCACAAAGTAAGTTGTGGTGTGATAACCTAAGACTATTAGCTCCCAACATGTTTTACCCAGTGGTTTTAGCTTCCATTGATGATCTATGCTTACATTTGTTATTACACTGGGGATCGCAAAATGATGACTCTGTCATTCTGTATTTGTGGGTTTTTTAAAATTTTTATTTATTTATTTATGGCTGTGTTGGGTCTTTGTTGCTGCGCGCGGGCTTTATCTAGTTGTGGGGAGCGGGGGCTACTCTTCCTTTGGTGCACGGGCTTCTCATTGCGGTGGCTTCGCGGTGGCGCCTCTTGTTGCAGAGCACGGGCTCTAGGCGCACAGCCTTCAGTAGTTGTGGCACACGGGCTCAGTAGTTGTGGATCGTGGGCTCTAGAGCACAGGCTCAGTAGTTGTGGCACACGGGCTCAGTAGCTTTGGCTCGTGGGCTCTAGAGCACGGGCTCAGTAGTTGTGGTGCACGGGCTTAGTTGCTCCACGGCATGTGGGATCTTCCCAGATCAGGGCTCGAACCTGTGTTCCCTACATTGGCAGGCGGATTCTTAACCATGCGCCACCAGGGCAGTCCCTGCATTTGTTATCTGGCATTCATTTCTGTAAAGAAGAGTTTCTCCTCTTCCTCCTCCCTCCCCCTCCCCCCAATCCCCATGGTCTCAAAAACTTTTTTTTTTAATTCAATGTGATATAATCCATTACCATCATCATTCTGTTTGATGCTCAAAGCTGTCCCAAATTGGGCCAGCAGGAGCCCTTTCAAGAGGCTTCTGCATTCTTTTGACTTGGTCTCGCCAATCTTTAAACACTTACTTGCATTCTCACACAAGATGTTCCAGACTCAACTTCTACTTACCCTGTTGTAAAATGTAACCAGTCATTTTTTTTAAGGGAGTCTTACTCCTTTTAGTTGGAAATGGTACTTTAAAATTGACTTTGTACTTTAAAAATGGCAATCTAATATCTCATCAAATGAGCATACCTCAGTTTAGCTCATCACTTTATTTGTTGAGCATTTAGGCTATTTCCATTCTTCTCTCTTCTAAATAACTGTAACAAACATCTTTATGTGGATAACTTTTCCAAGTTTAGGATTATTTCCTTTCACAAGATTCCCAAAAGTGGAGTTGTTGGGGCAAAGAGTGTACATTTTTTTCTTACTCTTGATACACGTTATCCATCTGCTCTCATAGAAAGTTTTAAAAGTCAACAACGACTTCTAAATGTTAAGCCCAGTTATTTTGTCTCATTCCTCTTTCTGCTTTGCAGCACCCGAGTCTGCTGACCTCCTCTGTGCTTGCAACTGTCTTCTCCCAAACTTTCCATAAAATGATACTGTTCTCCTTTCTCTCAAGGCAAATCCTCTCTTCCTCCCTTAACCTCCTAAATTATCACATGTTCCAACACCTAGACCTTAGAGCTCACTTTTCTTACTGGGTGCTAAGTGGGGTGTCCCTCCCTTCTATTTGCTTGACTTTGAACACCCAGTCCCATCCTGAGCTCCCATTCCTTCTGGTTTTGTCTTCTAAGTTTGGCCCTTGGCTTTGCTCTCCAGCCTTGCCTTGGGTCCATCTCTGTCCACAACCTTGAGAGGACAAACATATCCCAGTATACTCATATATGCACTCTGTTCTTAGAGATTCTGCATGTAGATGGAGCTTCATTTGGGCCGTGTTTTCTATTTGTCTGATATAAAATAACATGGTGGGGGGGGACTTCCCCG